TAATTCATACAATTCTATTATTAAACTCTAAATACCAATATCCGTAATAACTTTCTTATAACTCTATTAAACTAATAAAATAAAATAAAAAACTACTAAAATTATCCCGAATTAAACACACTTATAATCTTTGATGTTTATAATCCATACAATTTTATTATTAAACTCTAAATACCAACATCAGTAATAACTTTTTTATAAGACAAATTTGAGAAGATTTATAAATTTAACCCAAATATAGGATTTATGTAGAGACATTGTGATTTAATTAATTAAAAATTTTAAATTAGATAAAAAGAACTTAAAAAAAATGAAGAAGTATTCTTTGCATAGTCCTTTATTAAATGTATTTACAACAAAAAGGAGAAAAAAAAATTGTATACGGATCACGGGGGTCCAACAACCCGACTCCAAGTGGAGTTTGACATTACGTGAGCTGGGAGTCATCCAAACCGAACCGTATGGGGCACAGCTTGCTATATAAGCCTTCATTCAACATCAATCATCGTTCCTTTTGCGAAAGTAACGGCGACGAACCCCATACAAAGCGATTCCCGAACCATTCTCCAACGACATGTTGCAGAGGCCCCGACGACGCTGCGAGGGCACCGCGATGGGCTCCACCGTTTTCGATCTCCGTCCTGGTCTCGGTATCGGTCCTTTCACTCTCGGTGCGTAATCTCTCTGTTCTCACCCAGCCAGCCTCCCTTTTATTTATTTATTTTGATTAATTTTGCATCAACGAAACAGATTAGATTCTAATCATCAGTCTTGAACTTTGATTATTTGATGAATCATGGCTTGTGAAATTGTTTTTTTGGAAATTCGAATCCATCTAAGTTCCGATTGTCATATTTTTGAGCGAACTGATTGTCATTGCAATTATCGAATTTGAAGTTGAGGAGAAATCAAACAGTTTCGTTTCTTATAGATTAGCTTCATATTTGAGTATTTCTGTTTTGATTTTGTACTGCATTGAGGTGGATATGGAAGGTGATTGTGTTTGGAGTAATTTTTTTTCAGTTGCCTTCATGTTTTTTATGTTTTTTCCCAATTCCATCATGTGAGCAGTTGATTACAACGATTATCAATAGTTCGATCTATTGCTAATTTTGCTGTGTAGATTATTAGATCGTTTTAGTTGTTGTTTCAGGGATGCCAATATGCGAAGCATTTGCTCAAATAGAACAGCAGCCAAACATTTACGATGTCGTTCATGTTAAATACTATGATGAGGTTTGGACCAAGCCATTAATAAGATTCGTGTTATGCTTGAATTTGTTTCAGTAACTTGATTAACTTTTTTCCACTTCGTGGGATGCGTTTAATAAAATTAAATTTAAGATATACTCAATGTATATACATCACTCTGTTACTTGCATTTTCTTGGATTTTTAATGGAACTTTTTAATGCTTGTTACTCCAATCATACAATGAGAGCTGTGTCTTGTTTTTGGTTCTAGTATTAACTCCATGTCTGTTTTGTTCAGGAGCCTCTTAAACTGGACATTGTCATTAGCTTCCCAGACCATGGGTTCCATCTCTGCTTTGACCCCTGGTCTCAGGTATGATACTTCATTCAGATATTTTTAGCTCTTGTCTTTCCGCAAGTCTTTGTTTCTTTTCAAAACATTGCTGATAAACGTTCCAGGCTTCTTGTGGTACAGTTTATCTGATCTAACTTTCAATTCTTTATTAGAGATTACGTCTTGTTGAAATTTTTGATGTTAAACGGCTTCAGCTGCGCTATGCCACTTCCCTGATTGGGTAAGTTTGGCACTAAAAATTTATTGCATTATATCTAGGTAAACATATCTACTTATCCTTGTTTTTTCATCCAGGGGACCATCCACATTAGCTACCTTCGTAGCTGTCTATGCAATTTTTGGGCCAACCTTTCCTGGAATATATGACAGAGACAGAGGTGTTTATACTCTAATTTACCCAGTATGTGCACTGAAGACAATTGTTGTTGCAGAATTGCTGGAATTCATTCTGTCTTTTAAATGTTATCGTCTTCTGTGTTTCTGTTTCTTACTGTTTTTATTTAGCAGGGCCTGTCATTTGCTTTCCCAATCCCTAGCCAGTACACAGATTGTTGGCATGATGGTGAAGGTATTTATTTGATGTGTTTTCTGTTTTGACTACTTTTTTAGATCCTAATTTTGATTAATTTGATCCCACTTATCTGACAGCGGAATTGCCACTAGAATTCCCTGATGGAACCACCCCAGTTACTTGTCGTCTCTCTATATATGATGGTTCCACCGACAAAAAGGTTGGTGTTGGATCCTTGATGGACAAGGCTATTGCTCCACTGCTACCTGCTGGCAGCCTATACATGGAGGAGGTTCATGTTAAGGTTTGGCTTTGGATTATTTAAATATCATGCCTGTTGAAATGCCACCTTCTTAGATTTCATCCTTCATGCCTGTTTTTTAGATTATAACTAACTAATATAAGCGGAGATGAAGCCTTGTCTTCTGGGGGAAAGAAAAATGACAATGCTTTTTTTTTTTTTTTGAAATGCGTGATGTGTTGACTGGATTACTGTTAATTTGTCTGGTTTCTAGTGTGGAACTAATCTCTTGGTCCTACTTACTTAAATTGTTGGATTTAATTTATTCTGTATGTTCAAATTCCAGCTGGGGGAGGAACTATATTTCACTGTAGGAGGCCAGCACATTCCTTTCAGTGCATCACCACAGGTAAATCTTAGATGCCAGGCGTGTTGATTTGCATTATTTCCTCATTTCACTATTTTCATATTTTAAAGTTAATTTGGGAAAAATTCTAAGTTACATGTCTTTTTGGAGAAAATTGTACTGATAGAAGTAACAATGAGATGATGAGGGGCATCTTGTTGAATTGCATTGCATGAATTGCAGAGATTCTTATGAAGTAGTGATTTTGGAAATCTTTAGCTAAGAAGTATGCACTATTCAGTTTAGTGGTTCTGATTCATCTTGTTTTATTGTTTATTCTCCTTGATCTGAATATTCCATATTCACGTTTATTGTTTTCTTTCTTTGTTATTGTCAATCTTCCAGCTTGTTTCTGCTCTAAAGTTGTCAAAATTAATTGACTGCTATTTCCTATCCTTTTATTTCTCTTGGTATTGGTCTCTAATTGTGTCCCCATTTTGCAGGATGTGTGGACTGAATTAGGTCGTCCTTGTGGAATCCATCAAAAACAGGTAATGCTGATCTACCATGCTTTGAAATGGAACATTGGAAGATTTATGGTTTTTATTCTCTTCATAGTATTGGTTCAAATATCAAATATCAATGCTTATCAACTATCAAATTGGATGATGTGCCAAAGAATTCAAAGGCTTGGTGTCCTTTTTTGTCCTGTTAAATATTCATCTTTCCCTGGCACATGTTGATTTTGCTACCCTGTACAGGTGGATCAAATGGTTATTCACTCTGCATCAGATCCCCGTCCCCGAACAACTCTTTGTGGGGATTATTTTTACAATTATTTCACTCGTGGTTTGGACATCTTATTTGATGGCCAGGTAATGTGGACTAACAACCCCCTTGCCCATCCAATGTTTCAGTGCTCTGTATTGTTAAGAGATTATTTAGATGTCCTTTTCCTAGAATCATTTTGCCCCCTTAATCTTATCTGTCAGAAGTTTTCACTTTTCAGACAATTATTTTTGTTTTGTAGACACATAAAGTCAAGAAATTTGTTTTGCATACAAATTATCCTGGTCAAGCAGATTTCAATTCGTACATTAAGTGCAATTTTGTCATCCTAGGTGAGGACAGTAAGTCAGTCCTTGAAAATTTATGGTTAAAGTTATCACTGACAGTAATTGATCCCTTTTTTTTTTCCCTGGCTTTAGCTGGGGGATCTTTTTTGGATGCAAATAACTACAAAAACAGGATTACCCCAAGCACCAAGTGGGAGCAAGTGAAGGTAAACATTTTGCCATTGATTGATTGAGAGATTTTTTTTTTTTTCTTTTTTTCTTTTTTTTTGGGGTGGAGGATGGGGTTGAGGGATTGATCAGTTTAATTTAAAGACATATGCAACAAAGATATGAGTTGAAATTGATAAATTTTGTCCTCAACTATTTTTTATAATTAACTTGTGTCTTTACTTTAGCCCTTTGCAATGGTTGTAATGCTATGATATTAATAAATACCTCAGGAGATTCTTGGGGATTGTGGCCGAGCAGCTATCCAAACACAGGGTTCTACCAACAATCCTTTTGGATCTACTTTTGTGTATGGTTACCAGAATGCTGCCTTTGAGGTTAGTTATTCTCATCAATTTTTGACACTTTGTTTATTCATATATATTCAGATCATGATTTGAGAGAGCTTGCTAAAGAAGATCTTTGTTATTAGCAGGTGATGAAGAATGGTTATATTGCAACTGTAACTCTTTTTCAATCATTGTGATCTTGTCTGCTATGCTGCTTCTCTGCAGTCTTTTCCTTGAATTTGCTAGGTGAACTTGCATATTAAAATTCTTCATGATTCCTTTCTCTGTCGATTTTGTTAAATATCTTATTATTTTTATTGCCGCAGGTTGATGTTTGCTCCTTTGCAAGGAGGAAAGCGGGTGGGTTTGTGCAGTTGGTTGTGGAAGCAGTAACTAATACAACATCATTTGTAGAAAACAGAACTGGGGAAGCTGTGATAATTGTACACTTGTGTATTCATCTGTATAGTTCATTCATGCTATATATAATTCAATGGCCGTGGATCATCTGTAATTACTCTTAAGCTAAAAGGATGACGCTGCATTTCACATATCTTCAATATTGCTTTGTATATATTAGTATTTCAATTGCGTTGTCTTCTTGCAATCAAACTAACATACTGCTAGGGTCTCAGCTGAGGCATCAACTTTATGCAATTTAAACCTCAGCCCCTGGGATTTTTGCCAACCTGTGAGTTTAGAAGCCGGGGACGGCGGTAGAGGGCTGCTGTTTTTAGAGTATTGTCTCCCAAAGTTATCGTAGAGTTGTATTGTACCCCAACAAACTTACATCTTATAGAGGCTGGTGTATCTGCCCAGATTCGTGATGCCACTGCTTGGCATCCCTGTAGCTCCGGATGGTGGTGATGGTGATTTGTTCTGCTAGTAAACATCAAAAGCAGAGAAGGGATTGTACCTAAAACAAAAAAATAAAAAATAAAAAAAATCAAAGTTTAGGTTACTTCGATAAAGTCTGTAGTCTTAAGGGGAATGAATGACCTTGAAGGTGATGTTCTTTGCAATGAAGACAGATGAGTCAACTGAAAATGGATCTCCCTATGCTGTATCATCCCACACCCACACAGTGGTAGTCTTGTCTCCAGCAACACCACCTTCCACGGTAATAAGTCATGATTTAAAAAAAAATATCGGGGGGCTTCCGTTGCCGGGACTCGAACCCGGGTCTCTCGGGTGAGAGCCGAGTATCCTAACCAACTAGACTACAACGGATGATGGGAACGACACCATCTTTAACAATTAAAATCCAGAAAGTCCAATTTGCGCTGCTAACTAACCGCTGGCAGAGGGTTTAGTGTTTACTAGAACTAGAAGGCCCAATCTGCTTTCGCTATCCGTTGCGGCGCACAACTGCCTACCCACTTCGACTCCCAACAAAGAATTGCAGTCGTCTCCAACACAGGTGCGGTTTTCTCCTTCATTTGCATAATCTTCAATTTCCATTCAATAAATTCACTGCTCTGTCTCTTGTGGCGGCTCATTTTATGTATACATGCTTCTGGAACTAGAAACTCTCCGATTAAATTTTCCGTTCTTAGTTTTTTGATTTGAATAGTAAGGAAAGTGAGTTGAATTTCGGATTTTAGTAATTAGTTTCAGAGGTTAATCGGTTTTGATGATGTTACATAGCATTGGTGGTGGTAAGTGATACTGGGCTGTCTCTATTATTGCTGGGAAGTATGTTTTCTGGGTTTTCAAAGAACCATTTTGATAGTCTCTATTGAGAGAGAGTGGGTTGTATGATTCATCTTCGATATAAGATTGTGGACTGCGTTGTTTATCTGTACTTTTTCTTCTTCATTTTTTAAAACTTGAGTACGAGCCAAATGACAGAATCAATACATGGTTAGCCATTCTCTACTTCAATGATATATTTGCACTAGACATTATGAATAATTGCTGGTTGTGTTACACCACTTCAAAATCAGGAGAGACCATATTTGAAATGTATGGGAGGACCAGGAGGTGGATTTTTTTTTTTTTTTTTTGGGGGGTGGAG